TTGACATTTCAAAAATCAAATGTGTGGAAATTGTGAAAAATGATGGTGCTGCCATTCCATGTCAAAATAAATATCCATTTCAGGTAAGTTTCTATGGTTTAAGAACATTGCTTCACACAGAACTCATAGCTCCACGTACGTCCTAGTTAAAATATCCAACTAAAATATTAAGTTAAGCATATTTCCTTCCAATTTTGAAGAAGAGAATATAGTTGCTCTTTAAAATCTTTATCATGCACCAAATGTATTCCTATTTAGAAATGTTTTTAACCAGGCATTAGAAATCTGACCTGTGGGCAAAGTCATTTCATTCTTACACATATTGTTTTGCTTTATGAATTGATTAGTAAATATTAAAACTCAAATTAATGAACTTCACAGGTGAGACAAGAGCCCTCCTCCATGTACCATCAATGAGGTCAATACATTGTGTTAGGACATGGGAAAGGGCTTTTTTTGGCCATGGCATGCCAATTGTGGAATGCTCTCTCTTTGGAGGCCTGCATGACATAAACATTCATTTCATTCAGACACCAAGTAAAAATTGGCTTTTCATCAATGTCTTTGGGTCTCATTAGTTCATCTGAAGTACCATTGAACATAGTTTAAATTTTTAAAAAAATCTTTTAATTCTGTTTTTAACATATTATGATATGTAACATGCTTTTTCTTTGTTTTCATTTTAAACCATTTAATTTGTGTTAATGTTATTTTGTAATGGTGGTTGGAGTGCTGGACTGTAAGATCCCCACATGGCCATGAAATCCACTGAGGCTTCTTCTACACTACTATATAAAATCCAGATTATCTGCTTTGAACTGGATTATATGGCAGTGTAGACTAATTTAATCCAGTTCAAACAGGTAATCTGGATTATTTTCTTGGATAATCTGTATTATATGATAGTGTAGAAAGGGCCTGAGTTACCTACTGCAATGCATGCCCTTTCAGTCTCAGAGGAAAGCAATGGAAAATGGCCTCTGAACAAAACTTGCCAACAGAAGCTTGTGATAGTTTTATCTTAGTGTCATCAAGGGTCATAAGGGCTTGAAGACAAACAACAAAAACATCAAATATTTAATTTTGTTTTTTCCCCCATTTTAGGTTGTTTACGATAATAGCACACTTTATATTTTTGCCCCCACTGCATACAGCAGGGATCAGTGGGTAAGGAATTTGAAAGAAGGTAATTGCATCTATTCATGATACTATTATCTATCCTGAGCATAAGCACTGATATTCAGCTAAAGGGATAAAAATTGTTCTATTTGTATCTACCTAATTCTGTCTGTTTATTCACCTTAAGTGTCCTCCCACACAGCCATATAACCCAGGATATCAAGGCAAAATAACCCACAATATCTGCTTTGAACTGGAATATCTGAGTCCACACTGCCATATATCCCAGTTCAAAGCAGATAATGTGGGATTTCATTCAGCTGTGTGAAAGGGGTCTAAGAGAATAGAGGAACAACAAAGGAGTCTTGAGTACTCACGTAATTATAATTTTGAGCTGTAGGAAATTGAAGTTTTAAGACTTTTAGTAGGAGCTATTTCTCAGAAAATGTTAAGGAATAGATGTATGTTAGGAACCTTTCCTCACTGCACAGATGCAAGACTTTGATTTAACCTCAACTGCTGAGGCTCTAGCCCATGAAATTATGGAATTTGAAGTTTAGGGAGAGATATTTAGAATTTTCAGCCAAAGAACTCCAATGTCTCACAAAATTATTTATTTATTAGATTGATAACTTGCCCTTTGTCCCAGGATGGGATCTAAGGCGGTTTCCAAAAGTTTAAAACATGATTAAATTAAAACCTTATTTTACAAATAGAATTAAATAACAATATTATCAAAAGTCATGGCTAAAGCAGTTAAAACAAAATGTAAACTACTAGTAAGAAAAATTAAATTAAATACAACAGCATTTCACATGTACCACTATGATGTAATTTAAAAGCCAGAGCTTGTCTGAATAAAAAAGGGAACAAACTGGATTTCCCTTGGAAGGGCATTCTACAACCTTGAGAGGGTTGTTTCTTGTGTCCTTACTAAACATGTCATCTTAGTGAGACTGACAATCTTATCACATAGGTTGCCAGAATCGCCACATATCGTGGCTAATCTTGTGGTGCCCTGCAAAGGGGAACCTATCACCCCACATCTTTGCATCTCCTAGCCTCCCCCTTACCTGATCTTATGGAGGGAAGCATTTGCTGTGCAGCTTCCCCACATTGATTGAACCCTATGCAACATGGGAAGCTTCCCGTGTTGCCTCTATGGTTCCTCTCTATTTGTGCCGCTGAGCCCCGCTGAAGTAGATCTACATCATGGGATGGAAGCTGCTGGACTCTGTAGGACAAATGGAGAGCAATAGATGTATGCTGCTGATTTTAGCCCTTCTGATGAGGTTGTGAGAAAAGCTCTCCCCTTCAGAACTTAAAAGCTTTTGCAGGTTTGCAAAGAGAGATACAATCTTTCAAATAATCTGAAACAGACATTTTTAATGCAATGTCACATAATTTGTTTTTAGGGTATACATTGCAATGTTTATTTATGTTTTCATTTTTTATGTCTTAATGGATTTTTTTGTTTTTATTTTATTTTGATGCTTAATTCCTTTGTTGTAAGTTTCTGTTGTTACTCTCCATTTTAGGTGTTTTAATTCTTATATTTCATGTTTTAAATGTATTTTTTCTTATCTTAGTGAATTGTGCTATTGATTTTTATTTTTGCTGTGTCTGTTCCTATTTTGAGGCATCAAATGTTCGCCTTTTTATGTGTAAACTGCCCTGAGTTTTTCTGGGGAGAGAGGGTGGTCTAGAAATAAAGTTTTATTATTTTTATATTATTATGTAGTGCTTTAGAGGGCAAAATCAACAGTTTGAATTGTGACTAGTGGCAGCCAGTGGAGTTATTTCAAGAGGAAATCACATAGCTCTAGTTAAATGTCAGAAGTACATATGATGCAGGTATGACAAAATGCTGTCAATGTATTCTGTGAAAGGGCAACTTGTGGTTCTCAATATGCTCAATAGCAGGCCTCTTGGTCCTTCACCATTGAACTGATGCGTAGGGATTATAGGAGTTGCAGTCCAAGAATATCTGGAGGGCAATAACTTGCCCATCCCTGGTCTAGATGCTATACCAGTAAATATATGTTCCCAAAACACTTGTCTGCTGTTTAAATGGATGTGCTCTTCCAGTTCTGTTATGTATTATGTCTTCTTTCAAGGGCATTGCTTTCCATGGGGATGTAGTTCTGGAAGGAGGAGGATAAGCATTGTGCCCATAAAGTTTTCCTTTGTTCTGAGCATTTAGACATACAGTTTAGGAATCTGAAGAATGGGGCAGACAAAGTTGCCAAGGGAATGCTAGCATAGCAAATATGTGAGTTCCCCCAGGGGTGAGAAAGACGGTATATAAATACTGTAAATAAATAAATAAATAAATAAATAAATAAATAAATAAATAAATAAATAAATAAATTCTATGTGTGACTGATTTTCAGTATCTTGTTATCTGAAATGCTAGAAGTTTGGAAACTGAAGAAATCTTTCATTAAGGAAGGATACAAATCATGCAATCCACTCTATCCACATATTACAAAGAACTTTAAGCACCTTCATAACAAGCAGATACTAAAATTTGTTGGAAGAAGTCATGGTATATTGAAATAAAATCAGAATGAATTTCCGTGAGAGGCTGGATCATACTTCTAGTTTCATGATTGCCTAACATTCCCAACTGTGTTGTTGTAGTTTTTTTCGGGTCCCCCCCCCCCCCTTTTCCTAGTTCCAACAGATCTCACTACCTCTGAGGAAGCTTGCCATAGATTGCAGGCGAAACATCAGGAGAGAATGCCTCTAGAACATGGCCACATAGCCCGAAAAAACCCTAAAACAACCCAGTGATTCCGGCCATGAAAGCCTTCGACAATACATTCCCCACTGTGTTTATCTTCTCTGCTTTTAATCATATGAGTGAGGAGACCCCCAAAATTAATTCTACACACTCATTCCAAGTCAAAAATTTCAAAATATATTCTTATTTTTTTCCAAAATGGTATCACTCTTGTTAATTTGTAATTCTGTCTACATCAGGGTTTTGGTTTTTTTTGGTTTTTTTGTATTTCAGTGTTGTCACTGACATTAAATATTTTTAAATTTACTCTTTGAAATGTTAGTTTTTTACAGAAATCTGTTCTTGTTGTGTTTTTTTGTAGAGATAAAAAATAATAATAACCTTATGGTAAAGTTCCATCCTAAATTCTGGACAGATGGAATCTATCAGTGTTGCAGACAAACAGAAAAATTAGCTCCTGGTTGTGAAAAATATAGCCTCTTTGAAAATGGTAAGTGCTCTTTTTCCATATACTATCAAACAGAGTTGGGCGAATTCGACCATTTCACTGTCAAAGTGTTTCAATTTCTTTGTGTTGAATGTATGAAGAATTTCAGTTGTAGGAAGTTCTTGTAGCATACAGATTTCTCAACCACTTGTGTTTACTAAATTCAACAGCTACATCTAACCCAGCATGGATTAAATTGTACTATGTCTCCCTGCTATGTGGGAAGTTGGATCTGGCCACAGTGGTCCACGCTCTTGTTACATCCCGGCTAGATTACTGCAACGCACTCTACGTGGGGTTGCCTTTGAAGACTGTTCGGAAACTTCAATTAGTCCAGGAGGCAGCCAGAGTACTCACCGGAGCGTCATACAGGGAGCATACCACCCCTCTGCTATGTCAGCTCCACTGGCTGCCGATCCAATTTCGAGCACAATTCAAAGTGCTGGTTTTGACCTACAAAACCCTATACGGTGCTCCGGCCCAGCGTACCTGTCTGAACGCATCTCCCTCTACGTCCCACCTTGGAGTTTAAGATCTTCTGGGGAGGCCCTGCTCTCGGCCCCGCCTTTGTCACAAGTGAGATTGGCGGGGACGAGGAGCAGGGCCTTCTCGGTGGTGGCCCCTCACCTGTGGAATTCACTCCCCGGGGAAATTAGATCAGTGACACCCCTCCTTTCCTTTAGAAGGAAATTAAAAAACATGGATTTGGGACCAGGCGTTTGGGCAATCTGGCAGATAAATAAAGGACTATGACAACTGATAGGAATAGACAATGTAGAATGAAGTATGGACTCTGAGTTGTCGAACGCGGAGCTTGAGATTGGTTTACTGACTGTGATATATATTGATTGTTTTTAACTGTTATAACTGTTTTAATTGCTGTTTTTATACGTTTATCTGTATTATTGTGTAGGCATCGAATTGTGCCTTTTGTAAGCCGCCCTGAGTCCCCCCTCGGGGGTTGAGAAGGGCGGGGTAGAAGTATACAAAATAAATAAAAAAAAATAAATAGCCTGTCAGAAAAAAAATGAAAAATTGCAATCTTAATATAACAGTAAAGACTATGCGAACAAGTTGCATACAGGACAGTAGGACAATGAATCCATTCTGGGTTTCCATCAAAAATTTTAAGAAGCCATTTGATTTGCTGAACCTTAGCTCCATAATAGTTTCAGCACCTTGGATAGCTCCTGTAATATTGAGATCAAAACATGGTTTCACAACTCCACTGAGGGCCCTTCCACACAGCCATATAACCCAGAATATCAAGGCAGATAATCCCACAATATCTGCTTTGAACTGGTTTATCTTGAGTCCATATAATCCAGTTCAATGTGCATTTTGTACAGCTGTGTGGAAGGGGCCTGAGAACCCAACTACACTGACCATTTAATGTGGTTCGAAGCTAGACATTTTAAAATTGAGCATTAAAATTTGGAAACATTTGTTAAATTTTCTTTTTCTTACATCAGACTTAAAACAATAACAACCCCAAGAGCATTTTGCTGAATTAATTCATAAAATTTCTTGCAAAGGGCTAACCCCATGGGTTTAGTAAACTCATACATGTAAAAACAACTATTGTATATTGTTCTTTTAGGTATGAGGTCATTGCCTGTGCAAATGCCAGATAAAAGTAAGGTAAGGAAAAATATTCCAAACACTGAAGAAAGGGAGGTGATGGCATTCATATCCAACAAAATACTATTGTAATTACTACTAAAATCTGCTAAAACTTTGATAGATTTGTCATTTTAAAGAAAAACTTTCATATCTAGCTCAGAACTTGTTCAATTATTTGTTAAAGGGATTATTTCCATGCTTTTTAACAGAAGTTATGGAGCAGTATATTGTGTATTGAGATCTCATTCTAAAAGTAAATAACTTCAGAGACTGTTTCTGGTCTGAACTGGAGTAGATTCACTAAGTCATTGAGAACTTGATGAGTTAGCACTTCCATGCATTTCCATTAATTCATTTATAGTGCTCTAGTTGGGGGGAGGGGGGCGGTGGTGCAGAGGTTTAAACTGCTGAGCTGTTGAACTTGCTGATCGAAAGGTCAGCAGTTTGAATCCAGGGAGTGTGGTGAGCTCCTGCTGGTAGCCCCAGCTTCTGCCAACCTAGCAGTTTGAAAACATGCAAGTGTGAGTAGAACAATAGGTACCACTTAGGCAGGAAGGTAATGGTGCTCCATGCAGTCATGCCGGCCACATGACCTTGAAGGTGTTTACGGACAATGCTGGCTCTTCGGCTTCGAAATAGAGATGACTATACTTAAGGTCGTTGGGTGCTACTATTGGATTTAGGTCTTTGTTTCTCATAATGCAGCACTTTGAGCACTAGACTGCACTTTGAGCACTAGACTTACTTCTATTACTTCTTGATGTAGTGTTTTTGATGGAAAACACTGTTTCAATCAGCTTTAATCACAACCAGCTTTATAAATTAGCATCATGATCTGCAATAATCCTTGTGATTTAATATAATTATTAGGAATTTTAAATGACTACTAATAATTTCTTTCAGAGAAGGCCCCCACCCCCGATTCCCCCAGAAGAAGAGGAAGAAGAGGAAGAAATAGTAATAGCTATGTATGATTTTCAGCCGACGGAACCTCATGACTTGAGACTACAAAGAGGTCAAGAATATACTGTAATTGAAAAAAACGACATTCATTGGTGGAAAGCAAGAGATAAATACGGGTAAGGAAATATTATCTTTCTGTAATTTTTAGTACTGAGATAAATGCTTCCTGGAATGCAGAAAATCCAAGACACTGAGTTATTTTAAGATAATTGGCCAAAAAATGGGAAAAGACACTTATACATAAGAATAATAAATAATAAACTCTCCTCCCTCTGACTTTCCCTCACATATTTATACATAGCTATCATGTCTCCTCTCGGAGCCCCCGGTGGTGCAGTGGGTTAAACCCCTGTGCTGGCAGGACTGAAGACCGACAGGTCGCAGGTTCGAATCTGGGGAGAGGCGGATGAGCTCCCTCTATCAGCTCCAGCTCCTCATGCGGGGACATGAGAGAAGCCTCCCACAAGGATGATAAAAACATCAAATCATCCAGGCGTCCCCTGGGCAACGTCCTTGCAGACGGCCAATTCTCTCACACCAGAAGCGACTTGCAGTTTCTCAAGTCGCTCCTGACACGACAAAAAAAAGTCTCCTCTCAGCCTTCTCTTCTGCAGGCCAAACATGCCCAGCTCTTTAAGTCACTCCTCATAGGGTGTGTTCTCCATACCCTTGATCATTTTAGTTACCTTCCTCTGGACACATTCCAGCTTGTCAACATCTCCTTTCAATTCTGGTGTCCAGAATTGGACACAGTATTCCAGGTTTGGTCTGACCAAGGCAGAATAGAGGGACAGCCTGACTTCTCTGGATCTGAACACTAGACTCCTATTTATTCAGGCCAAAATCCCATTGGCTTTTTTGCCACCATATGACATTAATGACTCACATTTAACTTGTTGTCCATGAGAACTCCAAATTAGGATCATGTTGAAATACTACTCAGTCAATACATTATTTGGAGTTGGAGCACATCCCTATACTTTATATCTGCCTATTTATCCCTTGAAGATCTGTTTCAAACTGTAAATTGTCTCTTTGAGCACCTTGAAGAAAGAAAGAATGGAATAAATAAGGAGATTATTGGTTTATAATGTAAAGGTTTTTTGTGTGCTTGTACAAATACTCAGCGGTAACATAGTTGAACATATAGATCTGAAGACTCAATCATCATGAAGATGAAGTAAAGATAAATAAACTTTGATAAATTACCAGAAACAATAATGAATAATATTATCCAATCCTAGTAATAAAGAATATAACAATACTTGAAAAAAATCTGTTCCTGGTTTGAAAGTGTTGCTTCCTGTTTAATTATATAATACTTATTTTGAAAGCAATTGTTATGCCCCAGAAATGTCATCTTTCTGACTGCCACAAACTATGGCTGAGAGTCTATGAGATATTCATGGAAAAAATATAGCAAAATGTGCTGCAGGATGTCCCGCAAAAATTAAAGTTTTTGGAATTTAATAAACTTTCCCCATGTTTTTATGATAGAACTAATTAGGAAATACATTTTTAATCCAGGAACAAAATTGTTTTATATCATGTTATGAGAAATGCTTAACATGGCAATACATTACGATATTCACAAGTGAGAATACATTTATTGAAGGTTGTACATTATTTTGTGGGTCCCTTATAGGCTAGATAGTTGACTTTAAAGTTTTATAAACTATCTAAAAACATTTACCAGCAAGACATTTTTATTTTGTGACTTTCTTTTTACCGTTTCTAGAAGCAAAGGATATATTCCAAGCAACTACGTAACAGGAAAGAAGTCCAATAGTCTAGACCAGTATGAGTAAGTAAAAATACACATATAATCCACAAGAACAAATTATTCTTATAGGTTTTGGAAACTGTGTGAAAAAATATATGATATTGAGCTCTCAAGTTGTTCTTTTCTTGCTTTAAGGATACATTTAAGAACTTGTCCTGAGCACATCTAAAACTTCCCAAATTTACTCAGAAAGCTGGATAATTTGAAATCATTCTTCATGGTGCTACCCCCAACCCCCAAAATCCTCACGAACTAACTAGCTAGGACTAAGTGTTATCAGTACTAATATAAAACGTTAAGCCATGAGTGAATTAGGATACACAAAGTAGCTCCAAGTGAAAAGATGTAATAGAAAATCCCCATGGTTTTCTTTACCATTGGTTATGAGATCAGCTGTCTTTTGACTTTTAGAGGGATTCTCAAAAATGGTAGCAACCAAGAACAAAAGCTCAATATATTATGCCTTTTAATGTGTATTTTTCCTCTGTAGGTGGTATTGTAGAAATCTGAACAGAAGCAAAGCTGAACAGCTCCTCAGAAATGAGGTGAGCCTTAGTATTATTGTACTGTTTATAAGGGAACCAGGATGTTTCCTTATCTCACTACACTGTTATAGCACTATACCACTTTAACAGCCATGGGAACAGCCTATGAAATCTTGGGATCTATAGTTTAGTGAGGGACATTTAGAATTCTAAGCTGGAGAGTTTTTTGGTCCCCAGGAAACTACAAACCCCAGAATCCTCATGGCACTTGGAGGGGGGGGGATATTGTGCTATAACAGTGGTTCTCAACCTTTCTAATGCCATGACTCCTTAATACAGTTCCTCATGTTGTGGTGACCCCCAACCATAACATTATTTTTGTTGCTACTTCATAACTGTAATTTTGCTACTGTTATGAATAGCCATGTAAATATCTGATATGCAGGATGTATTTTCATTCACTGGATCAAATTTGGCACAAATACCCAGTATTCCCACATTTGAATACTGGTGGGGTTGGGGGGGGGGGGATGATTTTGTCATTTGGGAGTTGTAATTGCTGGGATTGATAGTTCCCCTACAATCAGAGAGCATTCTGAATTCCACCAACGATGGAATTGAACCAAATGTGGCACACAGAACTCCCACGACGAACAGAAAATATATATCAGTGATCGGTTGGGAGGGGGGCCGCCAAAATGTTTGCTTACTGTTGAAAATTACCTAGGGCCACCTCTGACTAGCATACAGATTTCTCAACCACTTGTGCTTGCTAAATTCAACCGCTACAACTATTTGGAGTTTTGGAGTTTTAGTTCACCTACATCCAAAAAGCACTGTGGACTCAAACAATAATGGATCTGGACCAAACGTGGCCCAAATACTCAATATGCCCAAATGTGAACACTGGTGGAGTTTGGGGAAAATAGACCTTGACATTTGGGAGTTGTAGTTGTTGGGATTTGTAGTTTTCTGAACCCCACCAATGATAGAATTGGGCCAAACTTCCCACACAGAACCCCCATGACCAACAGAAAATACTGTGCTTTCTGATGGTCTTTGGCAACCCCTCTGATACCTCCTCATGAGCCCCCCCAGGGTCCCAACCCCCAGGTTGAGAAACACTGTGCTATAGGAATGTAGGACTCTGAGGCCCCTTCTACACTGCCATATAATCCAGTTCAAAGCAGATAATCTCAATTTTATATAGCAGTGTAGAAGGGACCTGATTGATTAGGGTTCAGATTCCTGCTGGTTGATCTTGAGTAAATCATACTATCTCAGAGGAGAGTAATGGCAATTCTACTCTGAATAACCATTGCCAAGAAAACCCTTCGATAAGATCACCCTAAATCAGAACTGAGCACAAAGCACATAACAACAACTCTCTCTAAATGCAATACATAACAGAACTGTAAATAATTTCATGTGTTTCTGAGTAAACTTGAGTGATACCAAATTGTAAAGATAATGAAGTAGTTTGGTAAAACCTGTTTTTTTTTTCTTCCATGTGTTTTAGGATAAAGAAGGTGGTTTTATGGTGAGGGACTCCAGTCAGCCGGGTTACTATACAGTATCGCTTTACGCAAAATTTGGAGGGTAAGTCATGGAGCCACTTATTATTTGTATTCTCATTTTGGTTCCTTGAGATATAAAAACATTTGCATTTTAAAAGAAATAACTTGCATTTGATTATCAAAATCTTTCTGGTATAGTAAAATGAGATATGTACTTCCATGATTCAAGATGGTAACTCAGTCAGCTGATTTAAAGAAGGTGATGTTTTGGGGATTGATTTTTTTTTATTATTATTGTTAAAATAAATTGGTCAATCTCCTCAAATTAATTCAGGGTATGTAGTCTTTTTATGAATTTGAATGTTTTGAACTGTATAAATTGCTTAAATGTATTGTCAAAGGCTTTCATTGCCATTTCTGGGCTGTATGGCCATGTTCCAGAAGCATTCTCTCCTGATGTTTTACCTGCATCTATGGCAGGCATCCTCTGAGGTTGTGAGGTTCTGAGGAGGCCTGTCATAGATGCAGGGGAAACGTCAGGAGAGAATGCTTCTGGAACATGGCCATACAGCCCAGAAAACTCATAACAACTCAGTTGCTTAAATATTTTTCAAATAACTTATATTTATACATTTCTTGGAAGATTTTTATTTTTTATCATATATTTTATACATTTAATCTCTATGTGCACCCACCACCCATGGGAGATTTATTTACCTTTAATTTTAATAATTCGTATATTGACATCTTCTCAAAATGCTAATATATGCTGATTTGGTTTTATTCCTTTTTCTTTCACAAATATATATTCTAATAATTTGCCTCAAAATCATTTCTTTTTGTTAATCAATTTTTGCATTTTATTTCACAAGTCAGTTTATCATTTATTGTGATGTTCCACACCTCTTTGTACCAATCATCAATTTTATATTCATAATTTTCTTTCCATTTTTTGGAGATAACTAATCTTAGAGTAATAACAAATATATATATATATATATATATATATATATATATATATATATAGTTTTGCCATTTTAATCTAATATCTCAAAAATTTAATAGAAGCGCTATATTTGGATTTTTTTGGTAGATGAATTTATAGTATGTCATTAATTTCAACAAATACTTTTCCCCCAATTTTTAAAAATCTTTTCACATCCCCATCATAAATGTATATAAGTCCTAGTTTCATTATTACACCTCCAAAAATTTTGTAGATTATTTCTATTATAATAATGTAACGTTGGAGTTATGTACCATGGGGCCGTGGTAGCACAGCGGGTTACACTGACCTGAAGGTCGGCAGTTCGAAACCATGGGTCAGGGTGAGCTGCCAGCTGTTAGCCCTAGCTCCTGCTAACCTAACAGTTCAAAAACATATAATGTGAATGGATCAATAGGTACCATTTCCCATGCAGCCATGTCAGCTAAACACTACCAGGAGGGTCTACGAACATGCTCCTCGGCATGGAACAAGTAAAATGGAACAAGAGCACCTCCCCATGGCCAGAGTTGAGCATCGCCTTCAGATGCCAGAAATTGAAAGGGAAGCCTTTGCCTTTGTTTATGTATTGTATGTCATTGCTCGTTGTATAAAAGACATTGAATTTTGCTTATATATTGGTATGTGTATACTGTAATCCACTTTGAGTCCCTTCAGGGAGATAGAGCGGAATATAAATAAAATATTAATATTATCATGTACCATCTCCAAAATTTTATATTATCTTTAAAGATGTTATTAGCCACCTTGAGTACCATTATAGAGGAAAGGTGGTATATAAATAAAAATAATAAAATATAAATATTTTGTGGTTAAGATACTTAACATCGCTATCTTCAACTGAAGTGAGAAAAAATACTATACAGTATTATAATTGTTTTATTGTTATTTTTTTAAGAGAAGGGTTATCCGGAATAAGACACTATCATATAAAGGAAACACCACAAAATCAGTACTACCTGGCAGAAAAACACCTGTTTAGCTCCATTCCTGAATTAATTGATTATCATAAACACAATGCTGCAGGTATGTGGGTCTTGAGTTCCTTATCATCTTAAAGTGATGCTTAGAAAATTGGATTCGTAACATAGGAGAAGGATATGCCCATTATAGGGCATACCTGAACTCTCTGTCAGTACTGTTTGGGGGTTGGTTGGTGATGCTACCTACACAGTTGGCTCTTGGCCATAGCTGGGATTTTTTTTTTGCTTACTTAGTGATTTTACAATTTTATAAGACAGAAAGCTGTTCTTGTATCTCGCTAAATATCCTGTTTGCTTGTTTTTTAACCTTAGCGATTAGTACTTTGTAACCTATGTAATGTATTCTGCATTGGTGAACTTGTAAAAATACTTATCACTCTTAATTATCTAATACACAGAGTTACAATGATGTTTAATATCCTTGATAAAAAGAGAGTTCTGAGTGTGCTTAAAAGTATTTTCAATAGTATAAAACACGCTCAGTCATACAACTGGATAATTATTGTACTTCCTCAATTCTAAGACACATTTTCTCTATATAAAACCTCTAAAAATG